TGGCCATCACCCAAAGTTCCTGTGTATTCCCCCTATACGTAATGAGAAATGAAGGATTATCAACAACCCAGGTTAGAAATAGAACACAGAATGGACTGAAGATAAAATTGTGGTTTTTCTTTTAAAACCAAGAATAGAGATTCATAGGAAACTCAGAAGAAATAAAACTTACAGAGCAGTTTAAGACCAAACTTAAACTGGTCCTGGAATCTTGAAGAACCATCGAGGAAGCAAATTAGTTCTTGTGCTCTTTGAAGATCCCCATATAATCCTGGGATATTAATGGAGATGTGAATTATTTGAAGTGGTTAAAATCCAAGGGGAAAAAAAGAAAGGTTGCTAGATGTCCACCTGCTCTCTTACATTTTCTCCAAATGGTCCTAGGTAAGAAGGCTCAGGACCTCCAATCATGTGGTTTCAAAGATACAAACCAAATATAAGATATAAAAGCATGGCAAGAGGGATATGGTCCAGGAGAAATGGCCTGTTGTTAACAAGGTAAAAAGGCAAAGAAAACATAGGGCTAACCAAGGTTCATGAATTTTCAAGTGCCCCCATGATGTTAATACAGACTTTATGGAACAAATGCTTCTTGTGGAAAACTATGATGCCTGTTGTTTGGAATCAACAGTCTTTGGAAAAAAAGGAAGCCATAAATGATGAGGTTTAAAAATCTTACCACAAAAGGAAGAAACGCACAAGTTCAAGATCACAGATGGTCCATTGAAAAGAGCAAGAGAATGTGCATGGTTAGGCTGAAAAAAGGATGGGCAATAGAGGTCTTATGAATTAAAGCTAATCCCACTTGGCCCTAGTACTTATAAAACACTTTAGACCCAAACCCTGCAGGAAGGGATGGAGGCCCTTTGCAGTCCACTTCAAGCTAGGTAAAGAATAAAATAATATTAAAAATAAAAATAAGTTACAACAGCTAACAGATATTGCTTTTATTACATGCCCTAAAGGCTTTATAGGTTAACTCATTCAATTAATAAAACTGATGAGGTGGATACTAATAAGATCTCCCATTTCACAGATGCAGAAATCAAGAGACAAAGTTTCAGTGAATTTACTTACAATCCCTCAGCTACTAAGAGAGGGGAGCTGGGATTAGAACCCAATCAGTATAGCTCTCATGTCTATAATCATAATCAGCACACTATAGTGTCTCTCAGAAAGTTCAGCCTTTAAGCCAGAGCTGGCCCACGTTTTACATTCTCATCCCTCTCTATTCATTTACTTAAGAGTTTCATTGTTACAGAATCTTAGAAATGTCTTATTAAGTTTATCAAAAGAACCTCCCTTTCCTCTTCTTTCCCACATTTTCCCTCAAGGATGCACATCCAAGTGTTGGGATGGGCAGTCCCTATACAGCCACAAAACTTGCCAGATGGTCTGTCGTATTTTGTTAAATGAACTGCTCTACTGATTTGGTGAAAAAATAGGGAAAGGTACTTATGACAGAGAACATTAATGTTAATGGGTGGGAAAGGTGGTGGGAAATGAAATAGAATAATCATCTAACTAAAAACCAAAGGAACTCAACTACTAAAATGGTACCTATACTTCAAAGGCCTCTCTTAAACATCACATCCTCCCAGCCAGACTTCAACGTTAAAGAACCTAAATAATCTTCTATCACTGGTTGTCATTTGCTATCCAACTAACTATGCTTTATACTATACGTATCTAGAATTAAAACTCAAAGCAGCTTGTGGGAAAACATGCTTATTTGCACAAAGCACTCATTTCTCTGTTAGGTCATCAGGTCAAAAGGGACACAGCAGTGGAACTGTAAATTATAAAAAAGGGCTCAATTACCTATCCCTTTCATGTAGTCTAGGGCAAAATTAAAGCAAAGTATCAAATGAAGTCTCTGAATTAAAGGCTTGAAATAAATTTCTCATTTTTCATATATTTAAATACATTAAGGTTTATCTTTTTGATAACCATTTCTGTTGAGAACAAGGAGAATCAGTTTATATTTTAATTTCAATATGGAACAATTGTTTACTTTAAGGGAAAAAGAACCACCCATCTTTCTCAGTATTCTGTGAGGACAGGGGCCCATTTAGTTCTAGCATGTTCTCCAAGTCCACAATACCCAGTGAACACACAATAGGCCATCAATAAATATTCCCTACTACCCAACCACACTGAATAACAGACATAAGATGAAATGTTACTGCTGGTCCAAAGAAAGCTGAACAGACATGGATGAAATGCTATTTTTGAACCAAAGAATCTAAAAGTAATCAGATTAATATGTAGCAATGAAAGCCTCAACTCAATCTATGTAACTCTAGGCATCTTACTTAATAAATTAAACTGAATGTTGTCAGTACCTGCAATTTTCAAGTTGGAGGACAGAAGAGGACAGAAAAGGGGTTAGGTTACTCAGAACCTGTAACATAATACCAAATGTTTTGTGTTTGTCTTTCTGTGTGCCATGTGTATAATCAGTGTCCATGAAAGTTCAAATTAACATCCTACCCAGGAATTAATCTCTGAAAAGAATCAAGAGATAGCCATTGAGAAAGAAAATGAGGGAGAGTGTTTGAGAAGGAGTGAAGAAAGAGGAGAAAGAAGAGACAAAACTGAAAAGAAATAAAATAAAAGTTAAAAAAAAAAAGAGAGAACAAAAGAAAAGAAAAAACACAGATGAATAAAAACAGGAAGTGAGGGAAAGGAGGAAGGAAGGAAGAGCAGGAGGGCACGGAAGGGAAAAAGAATAGCCACATGGAAAAGAGAAATGAAAAAAAAAAAGGTTTGGAAAAAACCTTTTCTTGATGAAATTTGCAATAAAATCCAGATTCTTGCTGAAATGGAAAACTCCACTTTTGGTGGGTGAATGGCTGGGCTTTTTTCTATGAAAGGGAATCAGTATTTTACTTGACAATTTCCATGCTAAATGCCACTATCACTTTCAGTGTCATTTCACTGTCATCTTCCTACAGTAAATAAAACAGTACAATAAATATTTTCCCCCTGAGGTTTAAAAACATGATCTCAACGGTACGACTTTAACAAATCATCCAGAAAATTCTTGGCAGAGTAAACCAAAGAACATATGTTTATCCAAGGTGAACGGCAGCCCCTGGACTTATGTTAACTACATTTGGTTTCAGACAGCTCATCAAATATGCTTTAAAACTGCCCAATAATTCATCCACAGTCATGCATGTTACAATAAGCCTACCAATAAAATCTGAAAGCTTCACTATGAAAATTTTTCCTGCCAATTTCCACTTCTGACATAACTTGATAAAAGCTTATCCAATCCTCCTCTTAGAAAGACTGCATTATTTTCCATGTTAATACCACTAAACTGAAAAGACTTGTTAACATATGTCTACAGTACATCTTCAATGGATGTAGAGAATATATTTATCATGTCACAGTCCAACACATTTTATTTCCCATTCAGAACTGTAGCTTAAAGCAATGGCCACAATCACCAAACTGTGCAAAGAGCCAAGATGCCTTTCAACAAATGAATGGATAAAGAAGATATGGTTCATATACCCAATGTATTATTACTCCTCCACCAGAAAGGATGAATACCCAACTTTTTTATCAACATGGAAAGGACTGGAGGAGATTATGCTGAGTGAAATAAGTCAAGCAGAGAGAGTCAATTATCATATGGTTTCACTTACTTGTGGAGCATAAGGAATGACACAGAGGACATTAGGAGAAGGAAAGGAAAAGTGAATTGGGGTAAATCAGAGGGAAAGACAAACCATGAGAGATTGTGGACTCTGAGAAACAAACTGAGGGTTTTGGAAGGGGGGTGGCGGTGAGAGGTTGGGTGAGCCTGGTGGTGGTATTAAGGAGGGCATGTATTGTATGGAGCATTGGGTGAATCTTGGAACACTGAAAAAATTAAATTAAATTAAAAAAAAAAAAAAAAGGATTGTAGCTTCAGCCATGGCAGCATTTTTCCTATAAGGAAACAATTTTCAAAAATACCTTCTTTCTATAGTAACCTGAAGCTACTTTTCTTCTTGCTTTTTCCATAAGGTAATTCTTCACTGAGTTGCAATTAAAGTCAGAAAGAGAATCTCATAATATCATATTCTTATGCCTTTTTTCACTTTCTACATATATACGTGTGTGTGTGTGTGTGTGTGTGTGTGTCTTTCAAAATCTAGGACTCTACTGTATATATTTTATATGGTTTAAAAGATACATAAAACATAATAAAGGACTTATTCTCAACTGGTACCTTTCCAGATCATACCATGATTCATACATGTTGCCCTTAGCAAATTCAAAGGAACTGTCAAAGAAATCTACATATGTGCAAAGTTTTTAAAAAGAAGGCTAGAATCTAACAGAATTCTGTAAAAATCACATTGTCAACATACATATCTTATCCTGAACTGCTAAAATATTCACATCCATTATCAATCACTATTTTCTATTTAAACAAATGCATTTCTCATTTATACTGCTGTAGAAAGTTATGAATTCTAAAGCTTATTTTGTTGTCTCCTTGGAAACAATCTGATACAGAAAAACATGCTGATTGTTACCAATAATGAAACCAACCACAAATCATTCAAACATTCTACAATTACTCAGATTTCCAGAGACAACCTAAATGGCTCTATAACTAGGGACTGAATACAGCTTCCATTACAGTATGTAAAGGCTTTTTTGTTTCCATAGTGAATATACCTTTGTGATCTTTCTCAAGTTCTGACAGTATGCTCACAAATAAAACAAAAACTGCCCACTATCTGAATCACCAATTAGTCCAAATCTACTTACTGTCTCAGTACTATTGGTTACCATGTGAATTTTTACCATTTATTCATTGAAGGGTATTTGCAGTCTGACACATCAAGGATGAGTTCCAATAGAAATATCACCAACAAAACCAAAAGCAAAAATCAAAATACTTAAGTGATCCTTGGCCTATTTATTTTAGATTAAAAAATAAGCAGAAAGGTAAAAATAAACATATTTTAAAAGCCAATTATTTCAATGCTTACTTTTAGTAGATCCTTGGAGAAATCACCACCCTCATTTATGCCTTGGAGGTTTGCAATGAACTCTTGGCAGGTCATCTTCTTTCCAATATTCTGGAATAGAGGCAAATAAGACATCATAATGGCATACATACATGGAATTCTTAAAACTGTGATTAAGCAAAGCAAGACTGATTTGGCTTTTTAATACATGAATACACATGCCTCTATATGTGCATATATCCACACATATAATACAAACTTATACACATGAGAAACAGATGGCTTATTATGCTTTCAAAATAGTCATTAAATATAAATAGCAAAATTATGCCAAACCTTTTAACCTAAGAAAACATGAGAAATCTATGCTACATTTATATACATGTAAGGTAGCTTTTAATAAAAACATGGATAAAATGACATTTCTCAGCTGACCTCTGATAGCTCTTTATTTACTTGTTTATTTTTATGTCCTACATATTGTCAAGAGCTGTGAAGGATCTGAGATTTTAGCCCACTTTCAAGCTAACAAACTAGTCTACCACGATCTCACATGTTGGCAGATGAAGTATGATTCCTGAGTTGGAGGCTCAGTAATTTTTTTATAATAGGAGCAGCCAAAATACCAACATTTCTTGCTCCAGTTTCCTGAGTCCCAGTTCTCACAGAACCTGAACAGGGCCAGCTGATATGCACAAACAGTGGGTTGTGATACAGGAAAGGAGCCCCGCCACGAGATCTGGGAATCTAAATATTTGTAATGGACAGTAAGCATGCCTACTGCTTTTGCTCTAAAGGAAGAAACCAAGTCTTCTCATGCAAGGCTATAAGCAAATCTATCCACTGCTCTGAAGTCACTATATTTTCCAAAGCTGATCAGTATAGAAACAGTTTTGAAAAATTACACCAGAATAAAATTTCTGTTCACAAAATGTACAGAAATGTAAGAGACCCAAGGAAAATTGTCTCCTAACATATTTGAGTTTAAGAAAAAGTTTAAGATTTAAGAGTAATTTTAACAACAAAAAAAATCACATTAATAAAATGAAAAAAAAAAGAAAATCTAAACTAACAAAAAAAGAGAAGATACAAATATATTAGACCTAGAAAACTAATAAAACTCCTAGGGCAGTTTCAGCCAACTAGTATGAGCTGCCAGGATTCAGAAGGATTCAAAGGCTCAAACTGGACACCAGCAGAAATCTGTCATGAGTGTAGAAGAGGGATATGGAACACATACGCACCAGTTTGGGATCTCTGGGAATATGTGGTTCAAGTGAACGTGAAGTGTACCAACGTATTAATATCCTTGTACAGAATATGTATGTTCTGTGAGGCTATTTTTCAGAAAAGAACAAGAGTGGGCTAGAACATTAGTCCTCAAGTTGAGGAAAAATATTAAGACTTTAAAAGGGTTGGAAAGCCATGGATAGTTTTAAGAAAGTATGTATACAAAACCTTAACTTCAAAAATACAGATCTGCCTGGGAACATATACACCTATGTGTCTTAAAAGTAATCACTTCCCTGCAAATAAAAACCACAAGGAGATACCACTTCACACCAGTCAGAATGGCTAAAATTAACAAGTCAGGAAATGACAGACGCTGGCAGGAATTCAGAGAAAGGGGAACCCTCCTACACTGTTGGTGGGAATGCAAGCTGGTGTAGCCACTCTAGAAAACAGCATGGAGGTTCCTCAAAAGATTGAAAATAGAGCTATCCTATGACCCAGCAATTGCACTACTGGGTATTTACCCTAAAGATACAAACATAGTGATCTGAAGGGGCACGTGCACCCAAATGTTTATAGCAGCAATGTCCACAATAGCCAAACTACAGAAAGAACCAACATGTCCATCAACAGATGAATGGATAAAGATGTCGTATATATATACAATGGAATACTATGCAGCCATCAAAAGAAATGAAATTTTATCATTTGCAACAACGTGGATGGAACTAGAGGGTATTATGCTTAGCAAAATAATCGGAGAAAGACAACTATCATATGCTCTCCCTGATATGAGGAAGTCGAGAAGAAACATGGGGGGCTTGAGGGGTAGGAAAAGAATAAATGAAACAAGATGGGATCAGGAAGGAGACAAACCATAAAAGACTCTTAATCTCACAAAACAAACTGAGGGTTGTCAAGAGGGGGGGAATCGGGAGAGGGTGGTGAGGTTGTGGACATTGGGTAGGGTATGTGCTATGGTGAGTGCTGTGAAGTGTGTAAACCTGGCAATTCACAGACCTGTACCCCTGGGGCTAATAGTACATTATATGTTTATAAAAAAAAATAATAATCACTTCCCACTCCCCCCTCACAACTGCTCTTCTACTTTACAACATGAAACAAATCATCCAACCCACCCTATCTAATTAATTATGGTGAAAGTGCTAAATAACTTGTTAAAAACCTTGCCTCTTTCATAAGCAAAGAGGGCATAGTCAGACTTTACATGCAAGACTGGAAGAATGTTTTAACAATGAGAACTGGCTTTACCAATGATTTTAAGTTAAATCTGCAGCCCTAAGTTCTGATGAAAATTTATTTAAAGCACAGGAACTTTAATAAAAAAAAATACCATCTCACATTAATTGAAAAACACAATTACCTCAACCTTTCCAATCCTTACCAAGTATATCAGATCAAAAAAGGTACATGTACTAAATGCTGGCTAACTGAACACCTAATAATTAAAAAACAAAAGGTATCTTAAGGTAAAAAGTAACAAGTACATTCAACAGTCATTTTCATATGACTTGACAAGGTCTTTCTGGTTATGTTCTGAGCATCTGAGAAAATGAATGAATAATGACTACATAAAAAATTCTTTTCCAAGTCAGACAGTTTCCAATTCTCAAAATCAAAAAAGGATATGATTTAACTATCAGTTAAAAACCAAAATTTTCTTTAACATGTGACCTGGTGAATTCAAGTATTTGTAACATTATCTTTTTTTTTTTTTTTTAAAGATTTTATTTATTTATTTGACAGACAGAGATCACAAGTAGGCAGAGAGGCAGGCAGGGAGAGAGAAGAAGGGAAGCAGGTTCCCTGCTGAGCAGAGAGCCCGATGCGGGGCTCGATCCCAGGACCCTGAGACTATGACCTGAGCCAAAGGCAGAGGCTTAACGCACTGAGCCACCCAGGCGCCCCATAACATTATCTTTTTAAATCAATTTTGTATTGTTCAAAACAAAATTTCTTGAAGAATGATTTCTATTTAAACATTTGTTGTATTATAGTCATGAGATATTTTGTTATAAATAAGTATCAAATAATAATATAAGACTCCCAAGTATAAAAACATATTACATAAAAAAAACTTTTGAAAATTAAACAATTATGACTATAAGGAGAAAAAAAGTGAAATATAGAGTTGACTTTTTTATATGATGGAGGGTCCGCTCCATCCTATAAGTTTTTACAAATCCGCTGTAAGTTTTTACAAATACCAGCTTTACTGAAATATAACACACATAACATTCACCCTTTCGAATTATACAATTCAGTAATTCTTATTTATTTATTTATTTACTTGAGAGAGGACAAAGGTGAGCAGGAGGAAAGGCAGGGGGCAGGGAGAAGTAAGAGTAGTCTCTGAGCTGAGCACAGAACCCAACTCGGGGCTTGATCTCACCATCCTGAGATCGTGACCTGAGCTGAAGTCAAGACTCCACCATTCATCTAACTGAGCCACCCAGCTGCTCCTACAGTTCAGTAGTTCTTAATATGTTGACAGAGTTCTGCAGCCATTACCACTATCTAAATTCAAAACATTTTCATCACTCCAAAAGACAGCCCATATCCATTAGCAGTCAGTTGCCATATCTCTCCTCCTACCCCCAATACCCATCTCCTGGCAACCACTAATCCCCTTATTTGTATGGATTTTTCTGTGCAGGAACATTTCACATAAATGTAATCATATAAAATGTAGCCTTTTTAAACTGGCTTCTTTCATCTACCATATACTTTTCAAAGTACATCCATATTTTAGCATCCATCAGTATTTTATTGCAAAATAACACTCCATTGTATGAATATGCCAAATTTTCCATTCAGAAGTTAATGGCTTCTTGGACTGTTCCCACAGTTTGGTTATTATGAATAATGTTGCTATAAATATTTGTGTAAAGTTTTTGTGTAGACATATGTTTTCATTCCTCCTATATATATAACTCAGGAGTGGGATTGCTAGGTCGTACGGTAACTCTATGTTTAATCATTTGAGGAACTGTCAGAATTTTTTCCAAACAGACTACACCAGTTTACATCCCTACTAAAGGTGTGAGTTTCAATTTCTCCACATCCTTACCAGCATTTATCTGTCTTTTTCATTTCAGCCATTTCTAGTAGATATGAATTGCCATCTTGTGGCTCTGATTTGCAATTCCCTAATGACTGATGATGTTCAGCACCCTTTCAAAAATGCACATATTGGCCATTTGTATATATTCTTGGAAGAAATGCCTACTCAAATCCTTTGCCCTTATTGAGTCATTTGTCTTTTATTGTTAAGTTGTAGGAGATATTTATATACTCTGGCTATATAAGGAGTTTTGACTCCTTATCAAATATATACTTTGAAAATGTTTTCTTCTATTCTGCGAGTTATCTTTTCTTGATGGTGCTGTCTGGAGCACAGAAAGTTTCGATCTCGATGAAATCCAGTTTTTTTTTTTTTTTTTTTTTTTTTTGCTGGAAATGCTTTAACTCTATACCCATTAAGAAACAACTCCACTGAGTTTCTGGTAACAATCATTCTACTTTCTGTTTCTCTGAATTTGACTGCTTTTGATATTTTACATAAGTGGAATCATAGAGTACTTTCTTGTATGTGTGTGTGTATATATATATATATATACACATATATATATACACATATATATATGTACATATACGTATGTATAAATGTATGTGTGTATGCGTGTTTCATAAATATATATAATATAAATATATATTTCAAGTGCACAGCTTTGTAACTTTACATCTGCATACACTACCAAATGACCACCACCACAAATCCAGTTACCATCCACCCCCATACAGATGACCTCCTTTATCCATTTCACCTATTCCCCAATTCCCTTACACTCTGGTAA